AGCCGTTACGATATTTTCTATGTTGTAGAAAGACTTACCTTCTCCGCCAACTTATTTGCCATCAGCTTTCGGCCTCACATCCATTTCAGTCGGCGAGTTGTTCACGCATTTATCTTAACGACATTTTACAAACCTCACACACAAAAGCGCCATGATATTCTTCTTCTGATAAGAACCGATGTAACGATGTAAAAAATGCTTCGTGTTCTCAAACAGCGTTAAACATGAGATAAGAACAAGGAAATTAGAATGGACCTCCATGGTCAGGAACAATACATATTCTTTGACTTTGATGCTCCATGCATACGCTTTGTGACTATGCACGCGGCCAAGGTTTTTGAAACTTGCAATCTTGCTTTTAAGCAAGAAGAAAGGAGATGAAGCTTTTTTTCTATTGTATTGATCTCACTGAGTATAATCCGTGATTGATCTTGTGCGCGGATAACAAACCTAAAAACTAAAGCGCTGTTGCCAAAAATTAAAGCTAAAGGAAAAATATATTTATGGATCCCAGCGAAAATTGGCTTTTGTTTTGGCGCCATTCCTGTTTACATGCAACGCCCTCCCAAATAAAATGGTGTCCAAAACATAGTGCAATAAAAATGAAATGTCGCCCATATCCTTACAGCAACCAAGTTGTCGAAACAAGGCTGTTCTCCGGAGAATATCCAGTTAACCGAAAGTCGCTGTATAAGGAATTTTCAATGGACAAGGACATTCTAACCTTCTTGCATTAGGAATATCCTCGTACATCTGCTGAACCACCAAACATAATAATTGCAGATGCCTTAAAATTTCCATGACCAACAACAGAGCTTATTTGCATTTTGCAGCTGAAATCTGATGATGAAATATTGTTTCATTTGAATTACACTCCCCTTCCACTACCTCGAAACAAATATTACTGGAGCAAAACCTTCGCTACTTTTGAACAATGCGCTTGGCCCTAAAATTTATTCTGGTAACCTTAAGTTGCTACAGCGATTTCGAAAGGCATCATGATCTGGAGACAGAAATCAGGCCCAGTACAGAATGATGTTTCACAAAGAAGATTGTCAATGCCATTTTTTTAACCTTAGAAGTTTTCAGTGCTTTTTATATATTACAAAAAATTTACAAAACTTAATTTTTAAGGCGTTATGCATTTACATCTATCAGCATCAATTTGATTCATATAAAAAATAATGACAAACATAAAATATATTATTACGCATTTGAATATTTACTAGTTTAAGGACGTGGTAATCCCAATTATTTTAGTCAACATTAAATGGAAAACTTTGCTGTCATCAGTGTGGTTTTCTTGCTTACCCTATGTCTTTTGCTTCTTACTGTATAGGATCTGCATGCTTTCCTTATGTAATGTAATGAGTGAGATTTCCTTAAAAATTACTCCACAAATATATCACTCCTTCAGGCAAATAGCCCATGCATGCTTTGCTTTAATAAATTAACAGACTACCCTAATTTTTTTCGTTTTTCATAATTAAATAAGTGCATTATCTAAGTAGCAGTTTTACTTCATTATTGTTGTGCTTTTATTAATAAGCACTTCGTGTTGCATAAGACTAAACGCAAAAAATTTCTTTCAAATCCCTAAACTTTGCAGATGTGCATCTTATAAAATAATTATGCATACAAAAATAGGGTGACTTTTGGGTAAACGTTTGCAGCAATCAAACGCTGACTGCATAAAAAGATGTTCTTCGTTAAAAATTGCTTATTTCAAGGCCTCATTTGTTTATACCCTATGTGATTAATATTTACACATTTCAAAATTGGCAACACGTCAAATTCGCATTAAAAACAAACAATGGAAAATTTCGCGGAAAGTCTGGGAAGGAATTTACGATTGCTTTAAATTTTAGCTTTCCAGTCTTTTACAAACAAAATTAAACCCAGGATAAATATTGAAAATTTTTGCTTTTCCTTATTGGTTTGCGTACTTCTTAAAGGTGATTAAAAATAATCATGAAAACATATTGTGTATACAGTAAAATGGTATATGTTAGTTCTTGCAGGCTATCTCCATCCATTTAAGTATCACAATTATGGATGACTAGATTTATTACCTGTTGTCGGCATTTTGTACGTAGCATCCCACGGAGTTTCTACAACAGTTTTATGTTATTCATATGTTATGGGAAATAATTCAAAGTGGATTTTTAAGTGTTAATAAGAGGAAGAGACAGCACGAAAAAGTATATCGTAGTGTAAGAAAAGGTGTTTATGTTAATCGGAAATCTTCAACCGCACAAAATAAAGGTAAAAGTTTACATTTGGGTGCCCTTGGTTTTTTTTTTTTTTTTTTTTTGGCGATTCTTCTTTTACGCCAAGATCGGCGCCAGGTAAGCACAACTTCAAGATGATCGCTACACAAAACCAAACTAAGAAGTCAAAGAATTGCACAAACTCGGTGTCGATGACATCGACCTATTTTCACTTAAAAAAAAAATCAGAGAATTGCACAAACTAGGCATTGGGCGGGTAAAGTGCAGAATCGCCCACTTATTTGTTTAGCGCTATTTATAAGAGTAAGAAGAATTGGATTTTTGTCAATTTTCTTTGACTTTTTAAAAGAAAATAAGTCCATGTGTACATGGATAAAATGCGCAATGCGATTTTAGTGCGATTCTGGGAATTTTTTTTGGTAAAAGTTTACGGAAGCACTTCCGCAGAGAACCTGGTAAATATAAACATTGCTAACTTTGGCGATAATAGTTAAAACCTGGTAACCCATCGTATTTATCTTCTTATTCGCTTTTTCAAAGTTTGCAACCATTCCTTTTGCGTGGTGCCCCTTGTTTTGGGGGGATTCTTTTTTGACGGCAAGATCGGGGGCCATGAAGGCTCAATTTCAAGATTTGCTGCTACACAAAACCAAAATAAGAAGTAAAAAAATTGTACAAACTCTGTGTCCATGTACACATCAGTCTGTTTTCACATAAAACAACATCCTAGAATTTCACAAACATTGCGCACTGCCTTAAATTCGTCCGTGTGCATATCAATCTATTTTCATTTAAATAAAATCAGAAAACAAAGTTAAAACTAACGTGGTAACCAGAAGTGAAGTTTTATTGCCAAAATTTAAAAAATAAATGTCGCTAATCAAAGCGCACCAAATTCTACACTTACATAATAATTATAGCCGTTTTTTAAGTGAAATAGGTCGATGTGTACGTGGATACCGAATTTGTGCAATTCTTAAAAACGTGCGCAGTAGTGGGGGGATTCTGCACTTTGCCCCATTCTGCACACTGCCTTAACTTTGTTCATGTACACATCGATCTATTTTCACTAAAAAAAAAAAAAAAAAAAAATTCAGGAAGCTAAAACAATCATTGTAACCAGGAATAGAGTATCATCGCCAAAATTGAACAAAATTTGTCGCTAACTGGAAGGGCACCCAATTCAACACTAGAGCTAAAATAAATTTGGAAACTTAAAAAAGTTATTTGTACCTTATAAAATATATGTCAGCCTAGAACAGGTTATAATGTTAATTATGTTATAATGTTATACAGTCAAAAGTCGTTAATCCGGACTCGTCGGGACTTCGGCGATTCCGGATTATCGATTTTTCCGGATTATAGATCATCAGTTTAAATCTCGTAAGATGGCATGCAGAAATTCTAAAATTAAAAGTATGAAACTGTAATTTATGAAATAAAGAACAATTATGATCTAAAGGGTATCAAAATTTACAAAAAAAAAAGCTTAATATTTATTTGTTTACTTGTAAAACATTTCTTTCAATGTAAGTTGTTAAGTTGCTTCGTTTTCATGTGATAATACTTTCTCTTTAATTCTATTAAACAGACATAATTTCTTGTTCAGTTACAAAGTTCCGCTGTTCAAGTCCTATAATTGCTGTGTCGAGAATACCGACTAATTTGTCAATCGAAATTTTTTCGTTTTTTCAATAACCTCTGTACTTTCTTCGCTATCGGAAGCGAATTTTAATGACGAGGAAACTTGTTTTAAATCATATCAAAGACGGAGCATATCGAGATGAAATACTACATTTGTAAGGAATTATAAGCCAAATAAAATAAAAAAACATCTGCCCTGAAGATAAGGATAGTGTTGACAGATCAACTTCCAATTCATTACGCGCACCCGCGGCGTTCCCCCCGCCGAAGCAGCGTGAAATTGATAAACAGATTTCGGATTTCAAAATACTTTCGCTTTAGATCCTTTACATATTAACAATATATATCGGAAATTCTATTTGACATAATCGAAAGTTCAAGCTTACTTTTATAAAATTGCTCTACAGTCTGCAAAAAAATAATAAGCCGGATCCAATTCGAAGATTAAGGAACAACGCAATCATCAACATTAACTGAAATAGATAATTAGATAATTTTAGCTTATACCGTCCGTTATACATAAAACGCGCACGCGAAAACTATTCTGCACTTGCGCACACTCATATGCGCAGTCGTAAAAGGTCTTACGCGCACGCGTAAACGCCTATGCGCATGTGTCAACGCGGCGCATGCGCAGAAAGTTTTAGTTTGAGGTCCGGATTATAGATCATTCCGGATTATGGGTGTCCGAATTAACGACTTTTGACTGTATATGTTAACATGTTGTAATAATATAACATTATATATAACACATAATGTTATAATTAATATAAATTAATAATTATTATATATAATTAATACTATGTTAGTTCTTGCAGACTTGCATTAATTATTATTGTATGTAATTAATTATATAAAATATTATTATAATATATAATTTTTATAATAAAAAAGCATGTATTATCATAAAATAACATGTGTTATAATGTATGGTTATAATGCTATATATCTTGAATAATTCTGGTGGTGAAATAGACATTTTTACCCCCAGAGGGTTCTGGAATTGATGGGGGAGTAGGTAGCACTGTGGTAATTTATTTTCATAGAGTTGAGATAGACAAGGTGGGAATTAAACCAATGAATTCAGTTTATCAAGCAGAACTATACTCATTGACAGAAGCTTTGAATTGGAATAATAAAAAATTAACAGTTCGATATTTTATAAATATCTATACTGATGCCCTATCTGTGCTACAGGCACTCTCCCAACCAGATTATAAAAATCAACATTAATAAAATAAAAGACTTGTTTAAAAAGGCTGAAAGATATTGTTAAATTACACTGGGTGAAAGCACACAGTGGAATTGTTGGAAACGGAAGGATGAACACCTTTACTAAAATGGAGGCACTTGTGGATGGGACCGATAACTTTGGCATCCAATATGATGTGTTATAATGTTATAACTATTCAAGAAAAAAAGACCATTGCTGAAATGGAAAACTGAGTCTATACAGAATGGAATTTTTGCTGAGAGTTGTCTAATAAGAAAAGAGTAATAAAAAAAATATAAAGTTAAACAAGAAGATAAATATTATAAAAAATGTTGATATAAATCAGATACTGACTAATCTTGGGTGTTTCCCAATTTCATTCCATCTACAGAATAATGATATATGCTTAATATGTGATAAGTTTGGGGATGCCAGGCACTTCTTAGATGAATGTATGCTTACCCGGCGTGCAAGAGAGAAATATAGAAAGAGTTTTAAGGAAGATTTTAAAAGGACCTATTCAAATTTGAAAGATTTTGCAGAGACAATAATGAGGGTTATAAATACGAACAAAGATAGAATTGGAATTTGACACTGAGACTCAGATTTTGGACTTTATATGTTTTTTCTTACATATATATATATATATATATATTTTTCTGGCCAGTCCCACATTTTTTATCATATGGCTGGCTTGTGCTGGCTAAGAGGATCGGGGCTATGCCCTTATTATGATTATCTTGAATAATTCGTAAGTTATAACATATGTGCTTGCCGAGAACCAACAGTAAAGGTAATATATGTTGAAATACAGCCATTTGTATAAATAAATCTTTAATCTTGACCATGTAAACACAACTTTTCTTTTGTGTTGGAAACTGTATTTCATTATCTGTATTGTGATGTGATGGAAAACATGAGTTTTATGTTTTCCATGTTTTGAAATTGTACATGATGCTATGTAATATAGGTATTAATTTTTCAGTTTTGCCTTATTCTTTGAGGATAAGGCTAAAATACCGGAATCCCTTACCATGATACATTCGAGAGAATAAGTGCTTCATAAATATGCTGTATGGTCTATGATATACTGTTACCACTTTGTTTTGCAGCATATAATTTATTAGTTAAATTGTACTATATTTATTTTTCAGAATATCATATATTTTTGGTAGGAAAAAATTAATTTTTATGCTTTATGTTCCAATTGTTACTTCAACGTTATTGAAGCTATCAATTAGGATGGAATATTACTGAAAATGAGCAATTTTTTTTATACATTTTTATGTAAAAAATCAGTGAACTATGATACATTTTTATGTGAAAAATCAGTCAGAACTATGAATGCTGATCTTACACAGCATAATTTGTTGGTTTCTTTGTGTTTATGTCACATTCTTTAAGCAAACAGTGTTTTGTTTTCATTATAATAGGCAGTGTTTCAAAATTTGCAATCATCATGCAGAGCAAATATTGTCAATTGTTCTTTTGAAGCCTTAGCCCCCCATGAATTTTTCATTATTATTATTATTTTGGTAACACACTGAAAAGGAAACAGCTTTCATCCAGATTGTGAATGAGAATTTACATTAATTAATTTTTTTAATCTGTTCTGTCACCAACTGAGAATTTATATCTACTTGGCTGATCTTTGGAATATGGTAACTGGTAGTTTGGAGGCGATAAAGGTTACTACCTAGGACTTTGGTAATAATGTGAGAAGTACTCAGTTCCGATTACGCATTATTTTGTGTGAGGGAAATGAGAGATCATGAGATATGTCATGTGACATTAATGGACGAATTACAGTTCTTTAATCGGAAAAGGCGCTAAATCTGGAAAAAATCTGTAAATTTTGTATTTAGCTTTATTCTGTGTTGTGTGAAACAGTGTTGGTTAATTTTTGGATCCCATGGCCCTAACTAAAGTGAATTCGAAATGGATATTTAGTGGGATTGAAAGGGGTAGTAATAAGTGTTTTTTTAGGTTGTGTGAGATAGAAGTAAAGATGTTTTATTAAGTTATTTATTTTACCTGGTACCTTGCTGTGAACTATAAGTATGATTTTAAAGATCCTGAAACAGGCGCACATACGCTTGCTTTTTATTTAGCGGAGGAAATAAGAAAAGTTTATCCGCCACGTAATCAAGATTCTGAAGAAGATTAGGTAAGTTAGTATTTTTAATTATTTGAGGATATTATTTTTATGCATTGTTCTAAATGTAAGGAGTAAATAAATTAATATGGTATTATTGGAAAATTGTTATTAGCAATGATTTAGTTTAAAGTAATTAGGATTGTAAGCTAATTTTTATTAATTTAATGTATGTGCTTATTTATATTTTAAGTAGTGTTTTTTGAATTTAATTATATTTTAATTAAATGATAGTTATTTTGTGAATTATATGTTTGTAGGAATTTGGTATACGTTTCAGTGGAAGTAAACGTGCATGGAAATAATTTAAATATTTGACACTAAGTATTTGTAACCATTTGTAATGTTTGCGGTATGAATTCGTTGGTGACGTTTATAATGTAATAGATAATTTAGAGGTAAAAGTTTTTGGATATTTTATTTATTTTATACGTGGAAATGTTCATCTTGGAAAGGGTATATACTTTTTCGCGATCAGGTAATTTCATATATGTTCTTTTTACCGGATTTAAAGATTCACAAAATTTTCATGCATTTTCGTGAAATTTTTCTAATTTATGAGAAAAAAGCAGTGTACATGGATATAGTGAAGAGTGTGCGCAATGCCATTTTTGTGCAATTCTGGGATGTTTTTTTAAGTAAAAATAAGTCGACGTGTACATGGTTTAGTGATATTTTAATTAAATGATAGTTATTTTGTGAATTTTATGTTTGTAGGAATTTGGTATACGTTTCAGTTGAAGTAAACGTGCATGGAAATAATTTAAATATTTGACACTAAGTATTTGTAACCATTTGTAATGTTTGCGGTATGAATTCGTTGGTGACGTTTATAATATAATAGATAATTTAGAGGTAAAAGTTTTTGGATATTTTATTTATTTTATACGTGGAAATGTTCATCCTTGGAAAGGGTATATACTTTTTCGCGATCAGGTAATTTCATATATGTGCTTTTTACCGAGTTTAAAGATTCACAGAATTTTTTTGCATTTTCGTGCAAATTTTTGTAATTTATGAGAAAATAGCAGTGTAGATGGATAAAGTTAAGAGTGTGTGCAATGCCATTTTTGTGCAATTCTGGGATGTTTTTTTAAGTAAAAATAAGTCGACGTGTAAATGGTTTATGTGTATGTGCTATTCTGAAAAACGCGCAAGGAGTTTGCGATTGTGCACTTTTTCCCAATTTTGCAGTTAATATTTGTCATGATTAAGCAGTTTTGTTACATAAAATTTCTAGCATAAGTGTAATTCGGCTAGTAGATTGTTGGGAAATGTTCAGTAAAAAAAAAGAAATGTCTTTTCAAGACAAAAAAAAAAAAAATAGCATTTCAATGCTCTTAAAAATATGAATATAAACTACGCATCGAATTGCGCGCGTTAAAGGCGCATTGTAATGCGCTTTGGCGTAATTTCGCTCCAAATTTTTTATGGTCCTCAAAACGGAATAGTACCATCTTTTTTTATATTTATGCACATGGGACTTTTCTTCGTGAATATATGCAAAAATTGATTGAAGCTTATTGAAGCAGAAAAACATATTTTCATGTCTGATCACACAACTATAATTAAATTTTGTCTTAACATAAAAACAGACAAGACATTGCACTTACAAGTTACAGCATACAAATGGTGATACAATATTTAACCATTCTTCAGAATTTCATAACAAGAATTTGAAGGTGGTACCATTATAGTCAGTAGATTCTACAGGAACCAGATGTCAAAACTGAACACTTAGGCAATGAATAGGGACTTACAAGTATAAAAATATCTCAAATATTCGCATGGTGCCATGATCCAGAAAAAAGGTACTTACGTATGCAATGAGCAATGTACGCTTTATTAATGCAATGAGCTTAGCACAATTTGTTGATTTTCACAGAAGAAAAGCTAAAGGTTACTTATCAGGTGCAAGATAGTGATTTTTGTGCATTTCTTTTTGTAAGATTCCCAAATTATCGATATTTATTGCAAGTTGGTAAACATTATCAAGATATCAAAAGAAAATATACTTGAAAATACAAATTTGGGCATATCAAATTTGAATTATTAAATAAGGATTATGTGATAAATTAAATAAAATAAAACACTTATATTCTTCTTCAAATCTTCATGTAATTTTTTTGCAAAATTCGGTTGATCTTTACAATATGGTAACTGGTAGTTTGGCGACATTTTGGAGGCGATAAAGGTTACTACCTGGCACTTTGGTAATAATGTGAGCAGTACTCAGTTCCGATTACGCATTATTTTGTGCGAGGGAAATGAGAGATCATGGGATATGTCATGTGATATTAATGGACGAATTACGGTTCTTTAATCGGAAAAGGGGGGAAATCAGGAAAAAATCTGGAAATTTTGTATTTGGCTTTATCCTGTGTTGTGTGAAACAGTGTTCGTGAATTTTTGGATCCCATGGCCGTAACTAAAGTGAATTCGAAATGGGTATTTAGTGGGTATTGAAAAGGGTAGTAATAAATGTTTCTTTAAGGTTGTGCGAGATAGAAATAAAGATGTTTTATTAAGTTATTTATTTTACCTGGTACCTTGCTGTGAAATATAAGTATGATTTTAAAGATCCTGAAACAGAAAGAAGAAAAGTTTATCGGACACGTAATCAAGATTCTGAAGAAGATTAGGTAAATTAGCATTTTTAATTATTTGAGGATATTATTTTTATGCATTGTTCTAAATGTAAGGTGGAAGTAAATGAATTTGGTATTATTGGGAAAATTGGGTTGATCTTTACATTATGGTAACTTGGCGTTTTTTGGCGAAAATTTGGCGACCAACTCTTTTACAGCAACCCTCTATTTTCTTTCCCGAAGACATGTTTCTTTTCTTTTTATCTACTGAACACTTCCTTCCAACAATCTACTAGCCGAATTACACTTATGCTAGAAATTTTATCTAACAAAACTGCTTAATCATGACAAATATTCAACTGCAAAATTGGGAAAAAGTGCACAATACCATACTCCTTACGCGTTTTTCAAAATAACACATACACATAAACCATGTACACGCCGACTTATTTTTACTTAAAAAAAATCCCAGAATTGCACAAAAATGGCATTGCGTGCACTCTTCACTATATCCATGTACACTGCTTTTTTCTCATAAATTAGAAAAATTTCACGAAATACATGACAATTTTCTCAATCTTTAAACCCGTAAAAAGAACATATATCAGATACTTTATATTTTCCATGCACGTTTACTTCAACTAAACGTATACCAAATTCCTACAAACATAAAATTCACAAAATACTATCATTTCATTAAAATATTAAATTCAAAAACAACTACCTTTATCGCCTCCAAAATGTCGCCAAACTACCAGTTACCATATGTAAAGATCAACCAAAAATTGTTATTAGCAATGATTTAGTTTAAAGTAATTAGGATGTAAGGTAATTTTTATTAATTTAATGTATGTGCTCATTTATATTTTAAGTAGTGTTTTTTTGAATTAATTATATTTTAATAAATGATAGTTATTTTGTGAATTTTATGTTTGTAGGAATTTGGTATACGTTTAAGTTGAAATAAACGTGCATGGAAATAATTTAAATATTTGACACTAAGTATTTGTAATGGTTGCGGTATGAATTCGTTGGTGACGTGTTAATGTAATAGATGATTTAGAGGTAAAAGTTTTTGGATATTTTATTTATTTTATATGTGGAAATGTTCATATTTGGAAAGGGTAAATACTTTTTCGCGATCAGGTAATTTCATATATGTTCTTTTTACCGGGTTTAAAGATTGAGAAAATTGTCATGTATTTTCGTGAAATTTTTCTAATTTATGAGAAAAAAGCAGTGTACATGGATATAGTGAAGAGTGTGCGCAATGCCATTTTTGTGCAATTCTGGGATGTTTTTTTAAGTAAAAATAAGTCGGCGTGTACATGGTTTATGTGTATGTGTTATTTTGAAAAACGCGTGCAAGGAGTATGCGTATTGTGCACTTTTTCCCAATTTTGCAGTGAATATTTGTCATGATTAAGCAGTTTTGTTAGATAAAATTTCTAGCATAAGTGTAATTCGGCTAGTAGATTGTTGGAAGAAGTGTTCAGTAGATAAAAAGAAAAGAAACATGTCTTTACTTCGTGAAGACAAAATGGCGGCGGGAAAAAAAAAATAGAGGGTTGCTGTAGGAGAGTTGGTCGCCAAATTTTCGCCAAAAAAACGCCAAGTTACCATAATGTAAAGATCAACCCTATCATTTTGTTACCACAAAGGTCCATTTAGAAGGATATTATTTGTATGCGCAGAGCAAAATCTAAGGCAGTTAAATTGGTACGATTTACCTTCATCTACTATTTTTACACTTTTGTTCCTTTTATAAACAAATTACAGGTTTATCATACTTCTTTATTTTTGAGTAATCCTTTAATGTTTATCATTTGTTATTCGTTAATGTTTATGTTTTTATTCTTTAATGTTTATAATAGTACTTTCTAAACTTGCTTTATCCTCTTCCTTGCCTTTAGATGTCACTGCAGATAATGAGACTCATCATATGACCAAGATATATAGTTATTTACATCATTGCTAACATTTCCAATGAAAGAAAAGTAATACATATTCCATATTCTATAGCATGTGATCTATTCTAAGGACAGACTAAAATCATAATATGAATTGTCTAGAATTAGCAGAAGAATGCAAAAGACTGCATCATCATTATGAGAGTTTGTTTTTACAGAATGAAGAGGAATGTTTGGAATTCATCTTTAAAAATATTTTTGAGAAGTCACTGTTGTGTTTCTCTTATCATGGCTATTGTTGTGCTCCAAGTTTCTTAGGACTCTTATCTTATCCTCATAAATTCTCAAAACTTTCCTTCAGTAAAAGTGTAGAAAAAAATACTTCTTTTAATATTTTCTTGATGTTTCATATAATATTTCTAAAGATTCATTTCGTATGATTCTTAAGATAACTAGCCCACCAGCGGCCGAGCAGTAAAGATGCTGAGCACTGGTAGTTCGGTCCGAGGTTCGAATGCCACGAACGGGCTGGCTGCATAGGCATTTTCCTGGTTTTACCCATGTGTAACGTGTATACGAGCTAGTTTCCCTTAGAAAGTCCTCCACGAAGGCATCCCTCACCTTAGGCAGATAGCCCTTGTGTACTTTGCCATAATTGAATAATCCAATCCAATCCTTAAGATAACTAATGTATAAATTTTTCAGTCAGTGTTTAACAATCAGTGTCAGTGGTTGAAGTGCCAATGACTGAAAGATAAAGAAGCTGATTAAAGAACCTAGTATTAGAAGTTTCTGAATTCTTATGGGAATTCATCTGTTAATTACATTGAAAATTAAACACGTACTAAATCCTAATGTTATTTCAAATTTCTTAGAATTCCCTTTTTTTTTTTTTTTTTTTTTTTGCCTCATGAATTCCTTACTTTAGTTTTGGGGTACAAAAACATTATTAAAAGATAATTTTTAATTTCTTGTTTAAGTGTACAGTTTTTTAGAAAAATCTTTTTATCTGTACTTTTTCTTGTCTGTTCCTGTCAGTGCCTTTTATCATGATTTAAATTACAATGATGACCTGTTGATTTAGAAATTATTTCTTAAAAGGAGAGCTTTCATTAATGGAAGTTCAATTGTATACATACTATAAAAGACAAAATTTTGAATAATGCAACCAGAAAAGTTAAACTATCGAATAAAATTTAAACTATTGAAAACTAAGCTGAATGAACGAAAGTACATAATATATATATATATGTAATTTGCAACAGCCTTTTGAGTTTCCCTTTAAATTTGATTATTTTACCTTAAAAATAGTAATATGCTTTCATTAAATCTTTTGAAATTGCATCATTTTAAAATGAATCCCATTTGTATGATTCTTATATATGCTCCTGTTACATGTATTTATATATATATCTATATATATATATATAAAAGTCTCTTATCTAAGACTAATGTTGAGTTTTCTAAATTAAAACATAATCAATAGAAATAAAGTAAAATTAAAGCTTTGTATTATTCTTTATCTGAATTCATATTTTAACATGTATTTTTTCTGATCTGCTTCTATGCTACTAATATTATGTAAGCTGCTTTTGTATTGTCATCAGTTGCATTTCTGTGAACATTTGAAATCTCTGTGTGTGATGCTTTATTTTTCTATTATTCAATGAAATATGCTTAAATAAAATGAGATGCTTCCTTATTATTAATGTGAATTGTAAGTTTTTTAAATGATTGTAGATAATTCAAATTATCTTGAAATAGTCAACAGTCATTTTTAGTTTGCTTGTAATCAAAAGAGCTCTGAGTAAACCATATGATATTGCATTTCTTTTTTCTTTATTTTTTTTATACATAAATGTTAACAGTTCATGATCTTTCGTAATTTCGTCATCATGAGAAAAACTCTGAGTATTTCACATATTAATGCATTTTCTTTTTAAAAGAAAAGTGTTAAAACATTTTTGATTCCCTCAGAAGTGAAGAAGGTGCTATATCTTTCTTTCAAGAAATACATATTTTATGTCACATTCTAATAGGCATAAATTGCCATTAAATAAAACTGCATCTAAGTAAAAGCATATGAAGGTGCAGTGTAAAACCTTTAGGTGCAAGTAAAAGGACAAACATTTTTACAACTGGTTCAGTGGTTTTAGAATAAGAGTGATTTATTTACTGTTAAGCAGAGGAACTGACATGAACTAAGTAACTGAGCCATTAGAAAAATACAACTGTGGTCTGGAAAAGTTTTATAAGAGAAGTTTATTCTCTATGTCTAGTCTAACATATAAGCAAATAGGTAGTTCTGAAAAAATTGTGGTCATAAACAAAAATTTGTTTGTATGGGGGAAAAGTGAAGCTGGTAAGGTTTTTCAACAATAATGGATATTTGGCAGGTTATGCCAAGAAATTAGCGAGTTCATTCTTTCTGAGTTCCAAATAAAAAGGCAAAAATCTTTAACTATGTACTCATGACAAAAATCTTTAACTATCTAGAAAAGGGATCAGTGATGTAGTCAGACTTTGGGTGAGCCTGAAAACAGAGTACTGAAAAAAAGCAGGTTAGAAATATTTTAGTATGAACTTGGACCATTAATTTTTTTTTTTTTTTTTATTTATTTTTATTTTTTTTATCTAACAAAAGCTGCCTAGACACAAAATGTTGAAAACTCTGTAGATCATCACCGTGTGGCTTACCTTTCAGAGTTTATATGGTGTTATATGGCATGTTTTATTATTTTTATGTGGCGAAAGCTCTTGGGACAAAAAATATGATTCTGGTGACATTCTGAAAGTAGTTGTGGAAACATGTTAGCCATAAAGTGTATGTGAGGTGAAAATATGAACTTGTTGATAATCCTGGTGTGGACATTGAAGGAAAGGGGCTGTAATAATAAGGAAGTATCTAAAATAATCTTTGCAAGTCTAAGAGCTGTGTGTTTTTCAAGGAAAAAAGTCATGATATGTCTATATCTTCATGCATGTTTGATGTTGCCATTTAAAAGTATAACCAGTGCACATATGTAATGCTATTAATCTGTCCTGTAATTCATTGCTGTATTCTTCACCTTGAAAAAGACTACTCCTTAAGCATGTGGATGTGTTTGTTTTTTAAATCAGTTCTGACAAACCATATAAAGGCTATCTGTAAAGGGAGAGTTGCATTCTATAGATCTAACAGTTTTGGCAAAGCATCCAAAGGTAATCTATGAAGAAAGAGTTGCATTCTTATAGGTCTAAAGGAAATTGGTACATATGCATCTTGCATATGAAAAAACACAAGATCGGCAACATGTTTGTAATAATATCTCTCAGTTTTAACTTGTCAGTACTCAAATTGATATGTAAACGTTGTGTAAAACTTTTGTGTTAGGAATATTCAGGGCAATTTTTCTGATTAGTATTAGTGTAATAAAACTACTTTATGTTCAGTTTTATATGATAATGCAATTACTGGTAAATGTAATTTTTAATATGTTGTTATTTTAAAATACACCAGCTATTTCTTCTTCCTAATATTTCTCGTATCTGTACCTGCTACTAAAGAGATTCAGGATAATTTTTTTTTCCTTTTTTCTAAATTCTCTCATAACCATAGTAGCATCTGCTGCTGAGGAGATTTGAACTTCTGAGTTCACTTTTTGCACTTTTCATTCATTTAGTATTTAATGAGTGATGTATTATATAGATAACGAATGACTTTAATTTCAAATGAAGTGGGAAAAATTATTTCAAAAGAGATGGTGATGCATGCTCTTGAGTGAAAAGAGGATGGGAATCTGGAACATTTAGACTTATTTTTAAGTAATATAATAATATATTTTTTGCATTTTTCATGCATAATATATTAGTTATTTTATTTTCCAGTATTTCAGAATTTTGTTGAATTTTAAAAAAATAATACATGGTTTGATTCTGCTTTTATGACTGAATTTTCTCATATTTCAGGCTTAGTTATGATCTTGAATTCAAAAGCATAAATTCTTGTCTATTCTCTAACATGGAAAAGAAACGTTTGCAACAGTTAGCATACAAGCAGCAAGCTGACCATCTAACTCAAGCTCATACACAAGTAAAAATGTTTTTCTAAATATTGATATATTCTGTTTGCTGTTTCTTTTTGGCAGTGAATCAAGCTCTAATCATTCATGTTCCAGATATTTGGGTTTTCAGTCACCGAGAGCATTTCTTTGTTTAGGCCATATAAAAATAAGCTTTTCGTTAAATTGACATGTTTCTAATTTTTTTGCTTATTTCTGTACCATTTATGTACTGAATTATAATAGAAAAGTTTTTTTTTTTTTTGTAGGTAATTCAATATTTGGCATATTTAAGGAAAAAGTTATTAAACAAATATGGATGATTGTGTTTGATACTGATTTTTTAACATTTATTTATAATGTTATAAAAGAATGATCCAAAAAACTAAGTGTTAAGGAATTCACTAATTAAGAGCAGAAATTGGCATCATAAGATTCTGTCTGACTTTTGAAAATATAGTACTATATATTTACTCACACTATGCCAACTCCTGTTGCTAATTATTGGTTACTTTAACACATGTGTCTCATGTTCAGACACAGCCTATAAACATTAATGGAAAAATAATTATGTATATTATATGAAGGTACTGTTCGTAATTTATTTTGTGAGTCATTGCATTAAATAATATGTATTATACTGATATTTTATATTTTATGTACATAATAGTACTTTAATTTGTATTGAACATAAATTAGTTTTGTATTTTATGTTAAGGAAATTTTTTTGTTGAATTTTGATATGAAAATAAAAACAAGCTTTCATATTTAGTTCCATTGTCTTCATAAATAAAAATGATAATAAGGTAGCAAAGGAATTGTCAGTCAAATTCTATGATGAATTGGGAATATCACCCAACACAACTGTGGATTGGTGTAATTACTTCTGACAAGTACGTTTGTCTCCAATAAATATAAAAACAGCACTGGAGTGTGTTATGAAATTAAAAAATAATGCTGATAAAGTCATCTCATTGTGGAGAGAATTATTGGATGAATTTACTGTCAACCTTTCTGCTTACCACTGTAGGTAGATGAGTAGTGGCACTGATGGCAGAAATTTAGAAGCAACTAAGAAAGAACTGCCATCTTTCCCAGTAACTGGAAGGAATATAGCTGTCATGAATTGCGAGAAGCTGGGTACAAGCATTGGAGAGTGAACCACAAATATAATTTTGTGGACTTGGAGATGGGTAATTGTATACAATATTTTGAACAACTTTGGGATTCATTTAAGAAGAGAAATAAGAAATAGAGAATGTTACCTTTTATTATTATTTATGATGAGAACATTATCTGTGAACCATAAAGATAGCCAAATGTTTGTCGGCAAAGTCGTCAATAATTTGCGAATTTTTGTGCGGGTGTGTGTGTGTGAATTATCATAAAGTATCCAAATTTCTCAAAGATGACCGAGTTCTCTCTATTAGTGGTACTTTTTAGTTAGCAAAATGTCAGTAATAACTATGTGCTAGAATGCATATAGTATAGTAACCTGATTATTTCACTTCACAAGTAGTTGTGCAATAATGTCATTACGGATAAATGGGAAGAATGAAGACTGATACAGTAATTTTCCTTCAACACTTTTCTAAAGGCAAAAAATCAGCATGCTTCATGCTATATTTGGAAACTGCTAAAGGAAAAACAATTGCAATAATAACAAAATTATCATCCATACTGAAAGATGGGTACTTGTCTTCTGTATTGATCTTGACAAGAAAATGGATTTGCTATGTTTTGCATGTGCAAAAAACAAATGATTAACAATCTTGGTTTTTCGGAATTGCATTGTGTCAGAATAGTGGTTTTGCAATCGAAAATATTCGTGCTGACCAACCAGAATAGTGGTTTGTGATGCTGAATGCTGCACTGTAGGGCAAAGGTTCGAAACCTAGAGAAGACATGAATACTTTTAAATTGCTAATGACAGGTGCATCTTGCACTTCTTGCCACAAAGAATTCCATGGGCTTGTTCTGATGTTACTGTCGGTGAGATATGTCACAACGACAACAAAATACATGTTATGCTTACTATTTTCATTCTTCTGTCAATGGAAAAAGTTTTAGTTGATGTTTTATGCATTATTAGCAACAATAGTTGAAGCTTTACCACCAAAATAAGTCTGTAAACATAAATTTTCCATTGGGTTTTTTTAAGTAAACTGCTAGCAAAATTATATTAAATAAAATAATAAATAGAATTTCCCAATATGTTTATATATGTTATTTGGAATAAATTGCTTATATAACTGTATTAAATATTGATAATGTACATATTAAATAAGTTCTGTTGAATTATGCGGTTATTTTAAATAAACTGGCAAAATTGTATTAAATACTATAATAAATGTAAATTGTTCTTAAATTCCTTCTGTATATGTATATCAAAAAACTTGGATTGTACGGATAGTGAATGAATTTGCGATTTATTGTTTACCACAGTCCAGTGGTCTCAAACTGGTTGTCCATGGGCCACATGCGGCCCCTGAAGCAATTTTATGATTCCTGCAAAAATGTTTCAATTGTGTATTTGTTGCAAATATGGTGTTTGTTTCAGATTTCAAGATTTTAATTATTTTAAGTCTGAGTTAACACCATTTTTGTCTTCATTAAAATCACACTAAAATACATGCTACTATAGCTAATTAATTTATAGTGTGATAAATCTTATTCAAAGATTTGAAGATATAGATTCAATTATCTTCTTTTCATATTTGTCAAAAAATAAATGAGCTCAGTTATTAAATTTTGCATTAAGAAGAAATGCTTTGTTTGGGAGTACATTTATGTGTGAACAGACTTTTTTCACAGTTGAAAATTAATAAAAAAGAACCCAACTGGCTGCGAGTGTTTACTATACACGATGAAGATAGTTTCTTGTAAATTCTTTCCAAGGCTACAAACTTTATCAGAATTAAAATCAATCGAGTGTGAAGCTGTAGTAAGAAAAGAAGAAGTTTATAATTACAGTACAAAGTCCGAAATTCAGACTCGTCGAGACTTCGGCGATTCCAGATATTAGATCATCAATTTAAATCTGGTAAGATGGCAGGCAGAAATTATACTATTAAACATATGAAATCATAATTTATGAAATAAAGAACAATTATGATGTAAAGGGTATCAAAATTTACACAAAAAAAAAAAAAAAAAAAAAAAAAAAGCTTAATATTTATTTGTTTACTTTATTAAACATTTCTTTCAGTTTAATTTGTTTAAGTTGCTTCCACAAAAAATTCAAAAAGTTCTTTTTTCTTATGTCATATACAGTTGACTTTCTGTATGCCATACTCCTAGCATAGTTTGGAGACGGATATGCCTTTATTCATTTTTTGCAGCAATTTCACTTTTTGTTTAATGGACACCAAAGCATGGTTCCGCTTTGTAGATCCTTTGGCAGCTCCAGAATTGGGAACTCTTTTGACATAATCAAAAGTTCAAACTTAGTTTTTATAAAATTGCCATAATAATAACAGTCTGCAAAAAATAATAAGCTGGATCAAACTAAAAGATTAGGGAGCAGTGCAGTCCGCTACATTAACTGAAATGCCTTAGAATCAGTAAACATAATTTTAGCTGAGCGTAATAGTGTCTGTTATACAATATTGGCTGTGTATCACAAGACTGGCGACGAAAGCTAAGTTGTTTTGCTAAATTTTGTCTTTCTGCTATTGTGTACTGAATTAAGCCTGAATTGTATTAGTTTAGTTATTTACTATAACTACATTTATTTCTTGCACATGCTTAAAACTCATCTGAGTCCTGAATAAATAAGCTCCCATATATCTTAACACTTTATCTAGGGCCAATGCTAAATACCGCATAGTTCAGTCTCTACGGGTCCTAAATTCTGCTACAAAGCATCTTCCTAAGTTCTAAATTTTCACCGCACCTAAACTTTGCATTCATCCTAAATCTTAAAAAACTTCTCATCCCTTAATTTTTCCACTCGGTGCTCCCCTAAATTCCAATTTCATCTTCCCTAAATTCTGCTGTTCAGTGCTGACATGTTCTGCCTCAGCTTCTGGGTTTATGGTGAATAACATATCAGTTATTTTTAATTAAAATAGCACTAAATGTAATCTTTTGGCCTATGAGTTTATTAACAAAATCTATTTTTTAGATATGAAAAGAAATTTTTGTTGAATTTTTCCTCGTCAACATTTCATAGAACATTTAAAAATCTATAATCATCACCAAGCGTGATGTTAGCATAAAAGGTTGCCATACTCTTGTTATTCAGTTACTAATATAAAAAAAAAAAAAAAAAAAAAAAAATTAGACATCACTGCATGAGTTATTACTGAAACTGTCAGGTGTTGATAAACATGCAGTGTTGAAAGCAAAATATAATAAATAATGACTCGCCAGGTCGGCATCAGGGATATAAAATAAGTGAATGTTCGCGAACAGTGGTAAACGGAATGGAACATTTGAGATGTATGCCAAGCAGATACTCAGCTATGGAGCCAAATTATCAATCTCACAAGTTTATGCTTACATGATTGTTTTTCCATAACAAGGTATTTTATTTAGTGCCTAAGTGGAATTATGAATCGGAATTTTTAAGTGAAAATCTCCACATGTTTTATTATGGAAGGAAGAATCAAATGCGCATGTGTAAAGCATACAAAAAAAAAAAAATTTTTTTTTTAAATGTCCTTGAAGGAGGTCTGGATTTTAGATCATTGCGGATAATAGATGTCCGTATTTCATACTTTGTACTGTATTTACATACAAACATATGCGCAAGTATTTTTATTTATAGGCTGAATAAAAAAATTAAATCTAAAATTTAAAGGCCTTAAGATATCTTAGAATTATACTAGATGGTATTTCTTTATATGAATAGAGTAGGTTTCCCCCTTCCCTTAAAACTTGATTGGGAAGGAATTAAGGTAATATAGCCGAACCCACGTTTCAACATAACTAACTGGGCAGGTCAAGAGACCATATGAGGTGTGTCACAAAATTTTTTAATTTAAAAACATGTTTTAAATTTTTTTCTTTGTGTTCATTGCCATCACTT